CAACATTATGTGCAAACTGAGTGCTGAAGATTAACCTTCATGTAAGTAGTCAAGGACATAATGATTAATTTCAAGACTTGTATTTTCAAAAATCCGTGAAAGTCTCATTTTTGCCACTTGGGGCTCTCCATGCATCACACATGAGCAATTCTGGAAATCAATGCCTAAAAACACAGAGCGTTTGGGTTCAAATTTCAGAAGCAGCCATTCATTTTTGAGTGTTGAACTACACAGGGTCTCGTATCCAGTGTCAAGACAGGCATAAATTATTTCCATTCCGGACTTCCATTCATAGACTGTGATGTCCACAGAAGATAGGGACAGTGAGCACTTCTGAGAAATGGGCTCAGTGTGTCTTATGTTACATAAACAAAAGCCTAACACACCCCTAATCAGTGACTGCTTTTGTAAATTTGATATTCAAAGCAAGTTTGCAATTTCTTGCTAAACTGCTTATCAGTAACCCCAGAACGTTAATAAAGTATTAAGCAGTTAAGAGTTACTTCGTATTGTGGCAGTATCTAACATGCAAAGTTTGGAAGAGAATAGTCATTCCCTTCCCCTACATCATACCTATTTATTATCGGTACATTCATGTAATCTTTCTTCAGCATTGTTGGAGGAAGGTCATCTAAATGACTGGGGAGGTCTACAAAGAAAAGATCAACATTTAAGGAACAGCAGTACTAAGTGAGAGCTCTGATTCATGCTCACAAACTAGATCAGAGGAAACAAACTGCAAAGAAAACAGACTGGATGCTCCAAAGGATGAAGTTAAGAGGGCAGTTGTAAGGTCAAGCTGAGATAAATTCCAATAATAAAATGTGGTCTAGCCTCTTGCCTTCAGTACTGTGGATTTACAACACGGTATAGAGTCCAGTGAGATCAGAACTGCTGAAGACAGTTGCTAATTTGCCACATATTCAGGAACTGCTGGGTTTTATGAATAACTTTTGAGCTTACATGGAATCGTTTACAGATTCACAGAACTGCAGAAAGGGACATTGCAAACTCTCTAATCCAACCTCCCCTTTGACGTGGGACTGTCACCATGCCTTTGCCTAGCCAGTGTCTCCAAATACTCTCTCTTCCTGCTGCATTAGGTACAAATCTGATAAAGTCAAGTGGGAAACATTTTAAAATGGGGTCTCATAATCCAGACGTACCTTTCTTTCTTTTCCTTACAGGTCTGGCATAACATCTTGCTCTCTGAATAAAGGCACTGGGCGCTGGACGGAAGAAAACAAAGATTTATCAGATTTGTGTGTGCTTTTCTGTTCTAATGGCTCTTCTGAGTCAAAAAAAAAAAAAAACACTTTTTTGGGGAGTCGAAACCTGCCTTAGATTCTTCACCTGTGCCAGAAACACATCCTCAGGCACAGACTGTTGCCAGTCCACGCAGCTGCCTGCGAAAGGCAATTGCTGAGATGAGAACTAGCCAAGTTCTCGTGACACACGAGGTCTCTCCTGGGTGTCCTTCCCCTTCCCATGGGTGGGCGAGCGCGGGGCAGCTCCCTGGGGCACAGTTGGCCACGTCCTGCTCACCAGCCGTGGGGCAAGTGCAGAGAGCTCTACCTGCCCCTGCCCAGCTCACGGTGACCCCGCTGTGCGCACAGGCCACGCGCGCGGGTCCCATCGGAGCTACTCTGGTGTCAGGGCCAGCAGCGGGTGACAGCAGCCGCGTACGGCCAGTGGGAACCCCCACGGCCAGGCGTGCGTGGGGCACTTGGCCCTGCCTCACGCTGGGCTCCAGGATGGATGAGATGGAGCCTCCTGGACAGGGCAACCTGCACAGGGCGACCTGCAGCTCCAACCACCCCTCTCACAAAAAAAAACCCCCGTGCCCCCCGGCCCCCTGGGGGAGGCCCCAAAGCCACTCCAGCTCCCTGTCCCTCTGCAGAGCATCCCTTGGGATCAGTGACATCTCAGGGATCAGTGACACCTTGGGGTCAGCGACACCTTGGGATGAGGACACCTTGGGATCAGCAGCACTCAGGGATGAGGACACCTTGGGGTCAGCAACACCCTGGGTTCAGGACACTTCAGGATCAGAAGCATCCTGGGATCAGTGACACCTTGGGATCAGCAGCACCCTGGGATGAGGGCACCTTGGGATCAGCAGCACCCTGGAATCAGGACACCTTGGGATCAGCAGCATCTCAGGGATCAGTGACACCTTGGG